ATGGAAAATGGTGGCAAGATAGCTTCTGGTCTGCAAGATGGTCTCTGATCTGCAGCTTGGGAGGGGAATGAGGTGTAGGGAAGGAGACGGTGATTAATTGTAGACTGAGAATCTTTAAACAGGGCTGGAAATTCTTTGCTAAGCAACGTTTGGGGCATTTTAGTGGATGCAATGTATGGATACTCCTGGAGAGAAAGGACCATTTGTGATCAAAGCTTTTGACTGGAAGTGCTTTTAAATTAGAGCAGGGATATAACCTGGCAGCTTATCAACTGGCCCTTGACCTGTGATGGACTCTGGCCTCAGAAGGGAAAGTTTGAAGAGAATTAGGGCAACAGTGAGCTGGTTTAGACAGACTGGAAAGCAGGCTATTGGTAATTAGAGATGGGGCTACAAAATATAAGTAAGACAACGTAGATAGTGCTGTCCATGTGCCAAGCACTATTCTAAGTACTCTACTTATATTAATTCATTTGATCCTTTTGTGTGTGTGTGTCTGTTTGACACATATTGATTTTCATAAGAACCTTAAGTGACATGGGGTGGTTAAGTGGTGAAGCTGGGATCTGCACCTGTCCCAGTTTCTGTCCATTTAATACATCAGTTTGGCTCCAGAGCTTGTGGTCTCCACATGAGACTGCCTCTCTAGGACAGCTTGCGCAAGATTGAGAGGGACTTTGAATTCCAAGCAGAAATAAATGTAAGTTTGGAAGGCAGGAGGGAGCTGTTGAAGGGTTTTTGATGAGGGTACTGATTAACATCAGAATTAAGCTTATAGGTGAATATGTAATTGTTTAAAAAGGCAACAAAAAAAGGTAAGACTAATGCACTAGTCTATATGAATGTATGCAGGAACATGCAAGTGTATTTTTAGAGATGGAACAAGATTTTCTTGTCATTGATCAAAGAAAAGAGAAGTCATTCACCTAACCTGAATGGATGGCCCTATTAACAGCGATGGGAAAAACCCAGCAGTTTAAAGTTAGTTAATGAGTGTGTGTTTTGTTTTGTTTTTTTATCCCAGTGCTGGGGATTAAACTCAGGGTTTCATGTGTGTTAGGCAAGCATTCTGCTACTGAGCTATACCCTTGGCCCTCAATGGGTGTGTTTTGAGATATGTCGAGTTGTAGTTGCCAGAGACGGAGTCCAGGTGTATCTAACCTGCAGGCAGAAGGCATCATAGTTGAAGGACTGGAGAGGGAGAGGTTAAGTCTGCTGGTCCAATTTAGGATCATCAGCATTTACATAATGAAAGTGAATGAGGAATAAACTTAAAGGAATACTTAACAGTTTGGGCCCTTGAGGAGGAAAATACTTTTTATATCCTCATTGAGCAAATTTTTATTACCTGCCGTGTACTATGAATACTAGGTACTATGAATATAGAGTGAATAAAACAGACATGTTTTCTGTGTTGATTGGTCATATAATCTATTGAAGCAGATACAGATAGAGACAAGTAAGTAATGGAGAATTGACATTTCAGTGGGAGGTGTGATAGAGCACCTGCCTAGCAAGCGTGAGGCCCTGAGTTCAGGCTTCACTATCAGTAGAAAAACCCAAAAAACCAAAAAGATCCGAAACTTCTAATCATGAAGAGTAGGGGCAAAAGGGTTTCCAGTGAAATGAAAGATTTTTGCAGAGGCCATGTAGCAGAAGAGGGTTCATTCTGTTTGGGAAACTGAATGATGGAACCAAATGATCATTGTGACTGAAGGGAAAGAGAGAAGAAGGTGAGAAATTGTCATGGACAGCTGATGCAGTATCTTAAGGTTTTGAACAAGAAAAAGTGCTGCTTGAATCTGCTTTCTCAGTGGGGGCAGAGGAACTCTTTTTTGGCAGTATTGGAACTCGAACTCAGGGCTTTACATTTGCAAGGCAGGCGCTCTACTGCTTCAGCCACACCTCAAGCTCTTTTTTTTCCTCTGGCTATTTTGGAGATAGGTCTTGCTTTTTGCCCAGGCCAGCCCAGACCACGGTCCTCCTATTTTATGCTTTCTGCTGTAGCCGGGATGATAGGCATGCACTATCAAGCCCACTGTTGGCATCTCATAAACTGTTCGCCTGGGCTGGACTTCAACCACCATCCCAGTAGCTAAGATGATATGCATGAGCTATGGGCACTCGGCTAGGATTTTGTTTACCAAAGGAGGCAGAAGTCTTGATTTTTCAAGTGAAGTTTCCTGATTTCTTAATGTTCACAATTCAGTTTTGAAATCTTTTTTTTTTTTTCCGAAGAGGGAGAAAAGGATCAAAACTCTAATTTCTTCACAGTATTGGAAAGGGCTGGTGGAGTGAGTTGGTGAGTGTGAGAGACGAGGAGTGAGTAATTTGTGGAACCAGGAAGCCAGTGCTGTGGAAAGGAATGTTAAGTGTACACAGAGTGTTTTTGAGAAAGGAGAAGGACAGAGAGGAACAAAGAGAATATGAGGCAGAAGTGAGGTGGAAGGAGCCTGCCTCTATGTGGTGGGATTTCTCTGCAGTCAGAAGTGAGGAGGGTGTGTGTTAGTGAAGGTAGAGGTTGATACAGGAGAGGAGTGTGTAAAGAACAGGAAGGGCTCCTCTGTTAGGTAGCTCAGGCTTACAAAAGACTCAGCCTATGTTGTTTCAGAACTTTCTCTGTTATGTTCATATTCTGGAAGGTGAAACAGAAAAAGTGGAAAATGGGATTTGGGTGAGAGATTGTAAGTCTAATAAGATGGGGGATCTTTTTTGTCAGAGTACATAATTATAAAGACTATATTACTTGTAGGTTGGTAGCTGAGCACATGAAACTGGAAGCCTAGTCAGGTAGGAGAATAGGAGGTGACGTAAAGCAGATGGAGAAGAGCAGGTTGGCAGGACTGAGAGAATCTAAGCACCATAAATGGTCAGCAGTTGTGGTTGGGAGGTATTTTCTGTCTGGGCTTAGTTTTGACCGAAGTTTGGCAGGTTGGTGTTGGACCTGTCTATACCTTACATGACAGGACGTCACTTCTGGGGACCACAGTCTTAGAAGACAAGCTTGAGATGGGGCTGAAACTGGGTAGGAAGATAGCAAATCTTGTGCTGAAGTGGCTCATTGGGGAAGGTTGTTGCTGCCTAAGATCAGTCTTAATGTAAGAAAAAATATTTGGGGTGGTACCTAAATGAAATTGCAGAGTTTAACTAATCCTTCATTCAGATTTAACTATTATAGTATGTTACTGTTCATAGGAAAATACCCTAATGTAAAGTACTCACATATGCGATGAAAAAATAATAAAATAATATGTAGGAAAAATTGGGACTGAGGCTTTTTGCTAAGGCTACAGAGTTGGAGTCTGCCTTACCCACATCCACAAAGATGCTTGATTGCGGTCCCTGACCTGTTTTCTTCCAATTTTCTTGCAATTCCCAGACTTGTGGGATTAACCCATCATTACCTGGGAACCTAAAAGTACTTGCAGTACTTTTTTTTTGCTTCCCTCTCCCCCCTTTGCTATTACTGAGGTATGAACTCAAGGCTTTGCATTTGCTAGGCAGGGGCTGTACCACTTGAGCCATGTCCCAGTCCTTTTATTCTTTAGTTATGTTTCTGGTAGAATCTTATGCTCTTTTCTGAGGCCAGCCTGGGACCATGATCCTTCCTGCACCTCCCATACTTGATTGAAATTATGTACCACTATACCTGGCTTATTTATTGAGATGAGGTCTCATTAATTTTTGCTTAGACTGGCGTCAAAGTAGGATCCTCCAGATCTCTGCCTCCTGAGTAGCTGTTATTAGTGTGTGCCACCACACCAGGGTGTAGCAGCACTTTCTGAGGGGTGAGGAACTTGGAAAGGTCTTTGGGTTTTTCTCTCAGCAGTAGAAGAGCATTGGTTTGTTTAGTAACCTGTCAACCTTGGACAGTAAGCTGCTGTCCATTCCCTGTCTTCTGCTAAACAAAAAATGGAACTCTGCATTTAGGAAAGCTTTCTTCTCCCTATCTGATAGCAACATGTTTCTCATTAAGAAATTTTGTTTGGAGGGTAGGATATTATAATTTTTTTTGCAGTATTAAATAATGAGATTTCCTTTTTTAATAGAAAAAGTAACATGGTTTGTGATAAAATAGCTGGGCACTACCAAAGGTATATAGTAAAAAGTAATTGTGCCATTCCAGTCATAGGTCTTTCTGAGCCATGTGAGTTGCTTCAGATGCTTTTTGTGAATTAGAATATTAGGAAAAGATGTGGTAATTAAGCTAGAGGGAAAAGAAATCAATTGGGTATGACTTGCTGGTAGGCATGTTGTAAAAGTTAAATTTGGGGTGCATTTTGAAAAATGGAAGGAGGTAGGGAATGTGTGTTTTAGAGTGAGTTTTGGAAGAATACAGTACATTGGGTGTTAAGTAAAAGGTTCAGGTAGATTATGTCAGAGAAGAGAAAGGCACGAAGAGGCTTTTATACTCAGCTAGCAGGGATTTACTGGCGCCCTAAACTGGAAAAACTTCTTTTCTTCAGAGACCCAAATGGGAGTGCAGAATAGTAGCTTGATTCAGATCCGGCAGGAAACAGGTAGACAAACCACAGTTGACTGGATCTAGCTATGTAGACTAGGATGTAAAAACAGAATTACTGGAAAAAAATTGCTGAGGACTTTAAGCCTGAACTTAGTGAGCTGGGTAACTTTTATAACTTCGTAATATTCTCTCATTTCTGAGTATTCTCTGCCCTTAAATACTATTGCGCTGTCTTAGAGTTTTATTATATATGTATTGGTCTAAAATAAAGGAATTTCCATCAGAAGAGAGAGTGAGAGGAAGAGGAGAGGGTCACCTAGATTTTTTTTTTTTTTTTTGTGAAAAGTCTCCCTTTGTGTACCAGTGAGTCTGAGACTAGCCTTTTTTTCCCTTTCTTAAGTCACACAACTTTCTGAAAAGCATCTCATGAAAATCTTTGCCCTTGACTTTCACTAGACAGGAGGTTTCAGAGTCAATAGACTCTTCCTTCCATGTACCTCTTCCCTCCTCACACTACAGTTCTCGATTTCTCTAGAGTGAAGCTCTTAGCCTGTTGCTCACCACATCTCACCCTCGAGATGCTCCTACTGTGGCAGAGAGGCAGATGTTCAGAGTAAGTATCCCTGATCCATTATGCTTGGAACCTGGGCTTGTTTTAGACTACAGAGTTTTTCAGATTAGGGATGTTCAATTTGTATAATAATAATAGTGTGATACGTGTAATAAAGGTTCTCACTAAAGGTATAATGTTTACCTCTTGGGATGATGGAAAAGAAGAAATAGCTGATTGCTTTTTTCATTCACCTCTTTCCTCTCAAGACATAGGACCTGAAGTCCACCTGTAGCCCTAGGTAAGTACAAGGCGTCTCAAGGGCATCATCAGGCCAACTGCAGATGTTTCTCCTTGTAAGACCTTCCTAGGGAACAGAGTAAAAGCTTTCTGAAAACAAACCCTTAACCCTACCACAGTGAAGAGCAGTAAGTTTATATACAGTGCGTTATGTCAGATAAAATTCTTCTTTCATTATCAGACTACACCTTCCCAGAAATCCAAGGTGTTTTGTTTTTGTGGTACTGGGGCTTGAACTCAGGGCCTTCACCTTGAGACACTCTGCCAGGCCTTTTTTATGAAGGGTTTTTCTAGGTAGGGTCTCGCAGTACTATTTGCCTGGGCTGGCTTTGAACCACGATCCTCCCGAGTAGCTAGGATTACAGGCATGAGCCACTAGCACCTGGTGAGAAGTCCAATTTCATAAAGAACTTTTTTCACATTATTTGCTTATCAATCTTTGTTCACTTGACTGCCACTGATATTTTGTTGTAGTTTAAAATCTTACCCTCATTTGCTTTTTTTGTGCATTTGTCTTTAGAACTTTCATCTTTGGTATTAGTGGTGCTTTAGAGGATATCTCCATAATAAGCTTAGGTTGAAATTGAGTTTTTATCCAAAAAACTTCAGGTCAGTTTATGTACAATATATGGTATAGAATATATATGGGATAGCATGAAATTAAAGCACTGTTCCTGAGGACTGTCTCCTGGGATATAGTAATACTTTGTTTTTCAGACTTCTTTAAGATGGCATTTTTTTCTTGGATAATTTTACCTGGAGCCTATTTCTTCAGTGGAACAACCTCTCTCTTTGCTGTCATATTATGTGTTGAACATATGGATTGAAAATACTGCTGTCATAATTTATTTAGATTAATTGTAGTTCTAAATTTTATGTTTTAATTCTTCACTGTCTTGACATCATGAATATTTTTGAGACTGTCCTAAAAAGAAGTGTTTTCCTTTAAGAATTATTTTTTTTAAATGCAAAGGGAGAATGACAGATACAGACATTTGGGAAAAAGCAATGACTAAGAGAGTGAATTTTTTTTTTTATATTGGTTAAAAACTGGTGTTAATTCCTTCAGATTCTCTCTGTGTCGGATAATAATGACATCCTGAATTATATTTTTTATATTTAAAAATGAAATTATTCCCTAGTATTTATCCTCAGTATACATTTGTTGTTTGGTAGTACTGGAGTTTGAAATTGGGGCCTTGAGCTTGCCAAGCAGCCTCTCTACCACTTAAGCTACACCCTCAGCCCTGTCAGTGTAATTTGATAGTTTTTGATATAGGTAGACAATGAACCTAATGAAACCCAGGTCTCTTTAGGCTTTTGTTTGTTTGTTTGTTTTTGTTTTTAGATCATCATGTGCCTGGAACATTGTAGGCTTACTTTTATGGAATCATAGTTTAAATTCTAAGGAATAGGACTAGCTGTGATTTTTTTGAGTTCAGGTTGAAATGAAGAATGAGGCCCCTTATTAAAAAACTATTAAAGTGAGCTTCAAGACAATGACAGCAGATTATTAAATCCAATGCCAGACTCTTCTAAGTGTAAGGTCCTGTGTGATGACACATTTCATAGGCCTATAAAGCCCGCCCTGCATGGAAATCTTGGGAGTTCATTTAGTACAGGCCCCTCCTTTTACAGAAGAGGGTGCATAGCGTTTATATACAGCTAGATGCTGATAATTACTGCCATATAATGGGACAAAAACATTAAAATATGCTTCTGAAGTTCTTAATTTTTTGCTACCTTTAACTCTGTAGGCATATTGAGACAATATAATTTAAAATTACTATTAGTTTTTCACAGTGGTTATAAAAATAAGGACATGAGTAGTTCAAATAAATAATCCCAAGGAATTTGCCAGTTTTCTCTTCAAGTTTGTTTTTAAAAATCTTTGTCATAGGAGCTGGGGGTGGGGTGGGGTGTAGCTTACTGGTAGAGCATGGAACCTTGGGTTCAAACCCTAGTATCTAAGTAAGTAAGTAAGTAAATGAATAAATAAATGTTTGTTATAGTTGCTGTCCTGCAAATTTATCGGCTTAGGTTTAAATTTCTTTATTGTAAATTCTGAGAGCTCTAATGGAACTCAAAAGACTCACAGGAAAAGAATGAAGAAAAGGAAAGGGCCTTTATTATAGTGTAGGTAATGAGCTGTTTTACAACTTAGAATGGCACTGGTGTAAGTGAGACACATACCCTGCTGCCTGTTGGGCTTGTCGAAGGACAGCCGCATGAATGTTGTTGAAAACCTGCTGCATGCATCTGTGTTAATACGGGTTTTTAACCTTTTAGATTTTTTTTGGTGGTACTGGAATTTGAACTTAGGGCTTTTGTACTTGCTGGGCAGATGCTGTACTGCTTGAGCCACACCTCCAACCTGTCACTTTAGTTCTTTTCTTTAAATTTTTTTTTGTATTTATTTTTTTACTTCATGGGCAGTGCTGGGGTTTGAACTCAGGGCCTTGTGCTTGCTAGGCAGGCGCTCCACCACTTGAGCCATTCTACCAGTGTTTTTTTTTTTGGTTTTTTTTTAATTAAGCTATTTGGAGCAGCACATAGCTTTTGTTTATTTTTGCAACATCACTAAACTTAGGTAAAACTAATTATGACTGCTGATAGAAATAGATGGAAGCAGCTAGTAACTCAAACATGATTCGTAATTAAATCACTTCAAAATGTGCATTAGATACGACCTTCTGATGGTTACTTTGGCATACTCAGCTTTGTTTCACTAGCATACCCAATTTTTGTGAAAATTCTTAGCAATATAATGTGAGTTAAGCACTTCCTTTCAAGTTTGGCGTTCGATAGGCAGGGTCCCACACGGGTTCAACATGAGAATCGAAAAGTGTTAACTTCTGTTCAGCACCCATCTACCCAGCCTGGGCATGATGCCCATCCACAACAATTGCAGGGTTTCCAGGTTCTGTAAATCCAAGTGTCATAAAAACTTTAAAAAGAAGCGCAATCCTCACAAGGTCCAGTGGACTAAAGCATTCCAAAAGACAGCTGGTAAAGAGCTGACAGCGGACAGCTCATTTGAATTTGAAAAACGTAGATATATCTCAAATACCAGTGAGAACTATGGAGTAAAACAATTGATGCAATGAAGAGAGGCGAAGAAATCAAACAGAAACGCCACGCTAAATTGATAATGAACAGATTGATGAAAAATAAAGAGCTACAGAAAGTTCAGGACATTAAAGAAGAAGTCAAGCGACACATCCATTGTATCCAGGCCCCTCTTGTAGGCAAAGGAAAGCAACTGGGAGAAAAATGGCAACAGTTACAACAGGATGTGCACACGGGAGGTATTTCCTAGGAATCTTGCTGCCTATGGCCATTTGTACATGCATTCGAAAATCTGTGTGGACTTAGAACTTCTGAATTACTGATTTGTTACATACGGTCACTTGAATGAAAGGCAATTAAAAATACTTTTCTCCTACATTGCTGCCTGCACAACATCAGATCATGGAGTCAGGTTGCATCTCAGATTGCAGCTGTCTTCACTGGTGGACATGCTTATGTAAATCTTAGAAGTTCTCTGAATACAGAAGTGAATTATGGACATACATTGATCATGACATTTGCATTCTGGCACCAGGCAACACTTACATAGTAAGTTATTACAAAATTTTATGGCTAGTGACATATAAAATAAAATTTTCTTTGCAGTAAAACTCTCCTTTTATTAATATTATAGAAGGGGGCTATAACAAGGAACTAAAAGTTTATATGGCAACCTCAGTGTCTTTTATTCTGATTTAAGTTTTTCTTTTTCTTTTTTTAGCTTCTTAGAGGAGCATAGTGACCTCATACGGTGAAGCCAAATTACGCTGTGATGTTTGACCTGGTTTACCTGTTCTGATAATTGGGGAGAGAGTTGAGTTGAATAATCTTTGCCTGAAATGGCACTGTATTTTTTCTGCTTTGGAGAGTACTCAGTTCTAACTTGTGATTATTGATAGAGAAGCCTTTCTTCCTCTCCCACCACCCTACTTCCCCAGCCTAGAGAAGAATCTCAGTGCCTTTTAATGTTTATTGTGTGGTTTTCTTTAGAAAACCACCTGGCTGATTTTAGAAAACAATTTATTAACAGAATATCTGTCCATTATTTGTACATAAAACAAAACCATTTCTAAAATTAAAAAAATGTGAATTAAACCTTGTCTCCTTCTCTTACAGCATTGTAATCTCAGGTGACTACACTGGATAACCAAGGGAAGAGAATTTTTAGAAAACTGTATGAGTAGACAAGCTGGTCATTACTTGTGAAAACCGAAAGCATTATGGAGTTAAGGGAGTTTGTAGTATAAACAGCTACTGTGTGTAATAGAGCATCTCACATAACAGAAATCAGCTCAGTTGATTAGAAACAATAAGAACTAGCAGCTTTCTAAATTAAGAATGTAGGGATCATCTTTTACCATTTTACTTGACAGCTGGGATGCTAAGTCCAATTTTCAGTTTTTGACTGATTTTAGTAAAACTTCACAGTCTATCAAGGAGCCTTTCCTTCCTTTAAATACTCACCTGTGGAACTGAGACCCTTCATGTGAATACCAGACACCTCTTCCATCATGAGGTGGGATTAGAGCCAAGGGTATTCCTGGTTATATTGCCCTTTACAGAATAGCTTTGAAAATTATAAAGTGCTTTACAGATTGAATTGAGCTCAGTAATCTGACAACCATTTATGGAGAATGTGTAATAAGCCCAGTATTAGATTCAGTAGGTGATAGCAAGGTGAATAAGATAAATTCCTACCTGTAAAAGATGAGACATATGAATAGCTATATTTAGGATAAAAATATGTTTCAGTTGGTTTAGTCGTTTGTGTGATAGTTACTAGCACTTACTACTTTAAACCAGCCACTGTGGCCAGCACTACACATTCAAAAATGCTTTCCAGGGACTCATAGTCAAATGAATAAATGTGATATGTAGAGATACCACTGCATGACGGCACTGAAAAAGGTGCCATAGAGAGGGAACTATTGAGGTGAGCAATATGTCTGCCAGTCAAGGACTGAAACCTCAGAAACTTAGGCTTAACATGTGGCAGCTGCTGAGAAGAGTGTGCTTTTGTTCACCTTTTGTTTACTTAAAAAATGCGTGAACCCTGACCTGACGCCCATGTGAATATTAGATTATTTCCTACTGGAGTTTTTCAAATGAAGTATGTGACCCTTTTATTGAAGATGCTTATAATCCCTTAGTTTACTGAATTCTTCATAGAAAGAATGATTTAGTAATTAGCCCAAAAGCCAGTAGTATATTTACAGCATGGTATATTACATAGTTCAACTGCTAGTATATAGATTCCAATCCTCTCAACAAAAGCTTGTGCTTTATTCTGGCAGATGGGAAACAGCAAAGGAAATACCTGGGTCGGGAAACATTTGTATCTAGAAACAAGGTCTAAAGAACTAGGGGGTTTTAGTTATGATCAATTGATGAAATATGTCTTCCAACCACCACTGATTTCATTGTGAAGAAAACAGCCCACACGCAGTTTACTTTGTGGGCCATTTCCAGGGCACCTGTAATTGCTTTTGGAGCATTTGCAACAAATCCACAACTGGACCAAAAGATTAAAATCAATTTTGCATTGGCTTCAGTTGCTACTGTTAATCCATAACATTTAAACATACATTCAAGATCCTATTTGGTGAAAAAGAATTTTTACTTACTACTTAATAATATTGCTCAGAATGTGTCCAGCAGTGAGATACTTGGTACAGTGTGTAACAGTTTGCTTGCATTGCCAATTGGATCTGATCCAAAAAATTTAAATAAGAGTCATTTTGCTGTATGTAGAGAACAAATTCCAGAGGAACAGCAGTTCAAACTATACCAGTGTTTTCAGGCTATTCACAAAGGAACATTTCAAGCTTATGTTTGGGGAAGTCCATCTCTAAATAGCCCACTCCTCTTACACAATGTGGAAGACATGCAGGTTCCAGTTGAGGTGGGGAGTGCTAGGTGAGATATTTTGGCATATCCAATAGATGTTAAAAATTTGGAACCCAAACTCTCCATTCTCATTTACCATAAGATTTCTTCCTATAATCATCTTGGTTTTGTACTGGGTTTAGATGCTTTCTTTCAAGTTTACAGTGAAATCACAATTATCAGTGAAGCTCAGTGAGGTTGAAAATTTTCTTTGACTTAATACAATATTTTTCTACCTCTCCTGAGAATCCCTTGCTTTTGTAATCATGTCATTTTCTTGCTTGTCCCTTTTATTTTTAAGGGTCTTTGATGTTTAAACCAGTGAATCATTTTGCTAAATCAGTTGCATTTGTTCAGAAAGTATGAACACTAATAAAATATTTCATTCATCTTGGGAAAAAAAGCCTAAAATTCCCTGGAAGGTGTCAGTGGGTAAACTAGGAGAAAAAAAAAAAATAGAAATAGTATCCCATGTTTCAGGGATTGGAGAACTGAAGGTTGACTTGTCTCAGTTTGTTTGAAAATCAGTTTGTTCTCAGTCTTCTTTGAGAAATTTTTACTTCAGGTCCATTCTAATTGGATTTGGGATCAAAGTTCATACTACCAAACAGCACAAAATAATCCAAGCCAAGACTTTAGTGAAAAATGGTCTCAGGTTGTTAGGACTCAGAACCAAACTAAATCCTTTCTTGGGAATTTGGAACACAAGCCTTAAAGAATGAATACAGGTAAAGTCTTAATGATTACTTGGGTCATTCTATGAATTTTTTCATAGAAAATTGAAGTGTCCACTGATAATTTTTTCAGATTTATGATAGCTTAATTAAATAAAAAGTCAATACGGCAAAATCAGTTCTGTTATTCTAAACTAGCTGTCTATAACAAAAAATGTAATATCTGCCTAGCCAAGCACAAGGTCCTGAGTTCAAACCCCAGTACCACCAAAACAAACCAACCCAAAAGATTTTTAACACATGGTGTTCGGGTGACATTTAAGATCCCAGCTCTAGCAGGGAGGGCAATCTTTAGTTGTAAAAATGTGTTGATAGACATTAAAGAAGACCTAAATAAATGTGGGGACATAACATATCCATAGAGAAAAAGTCTGTTTCTTGGTAATACATTGATTAAACTGTCAATCTATACATTCATTGGCATTTAAAAAAAATCCTGCAGGGTATCATTTTATTTGTTTTTGTAGAACTTGATAAATTAATTCTAAAACCTATTTGGAAATAAAGGGTCAAAATTAGCTAAGATATTCCTGATACCAGTGCTTGTCCTATAAAGTTTTAAGACTTAGTGTTGATGCTGGGGTGTGACTAAGTGATAGAGTACTTTCCTGGCATGTGCGAGGCCCTATGTTTCATTTCCCATTGTTGCCCCCTCTCCAAAGAAGGCTTAGTGTATAATACTTACAATTGAGATAGCATATTATTAGGAAAGGATAGGCAAACAGATTAATAGAAATTAAGGCAGAAAACAGAACCATACTTGCTTTACATATGTAGAAATCTGATTTGTGACAGAGTTAAAGTTACAAATCACTAAGGAAATGGAATATTCTTTAAATGGTGCTGGAATTATTTAGCTACATGAGAAAAATTAGTTTTTTACCTCATGTTTTAAAATTCCAGACGGATTAAAGATTAAATTATGAAAAGTAAACCTTAAGCTTTCAGAATAAAGTATTAGAGAGTACTTTTTACCCCAGTCTTTGTCTTTTTTCTTTTCTTTTTTTTTTGGCAGTACTGGGGCTTGAACTCAGAGCCTTCACCATGAGCCACTCCATCAGCTCTTTTTTGTGATGGGTTTTTTGAGATAGATTCTCACAGTACTGTTTGCCTGGGCTGACTTGGAACCATGATCCTCCTGATGCTACTGAGTGGTTAGGATTACAAGCATGAGCCATCGATGCCTGGCTACCTCAGTCTTTCTTAACTAGATGCCAAAAACACACTTATTGACATTTTTCCTTTGTGTTATAGCTAGAAAATATAAAGGCTCCATAATCAGGTAGGAGATACTTACAACACATAAAAGGATAAAGGTTTTTTTGAGTTTTTTTTTTTTAATGACAGTAATATACACATGCATATAGTAGGCCTGTGGTATCTGTGGGTGTACGGTTCCAAGGAGACCACCGAGGAAAACCCACAAATGCTCAGGATGCATCAAGTTCAGTACTCTAAAATTGCTAAAATTTACCTGCATCACATGCATAGTAGGTGTGAACCTCCAAATGTGAAATCACATAAAGTTACATTACTGTCCCAAAAATGACTGTTGTTATCCAGGCACCGGTGGCTTATGCCTGTAATCTTAGCTACTCAGGAGGCAGAGATCAGGAGGATTGTGGTTTGAAGCCAGCCCAGGCAAGTAGTTTGTGAGACCCTATCTTGAAAAAAGCCCTTTACACAAAAGGGCTGGTAGAGTGGCTCAAGGATTAGGCCCTGAGTTCAAGCCTCAGTACTGCAAAAAAAAAAAAAAAAAACTGTGGTAATTAATATTACTTAATACTGTTCACCAAAAACTAGGTCTTATTTCATGTTCTTTATCATGAATAACTTGGATGCTTGATTCATTTTTCCCATAGTGCTGCCCAACTTATTAAAGGTATGCCACCTTTCAATAAATCCAAAGTTTTCACTTTATCACTTAAATTAAGTACATTAAATTTTATATTGCTTTTTCGGGGGTAGATTTTCACAAAATTAAAGGCAGGGAAATTCTCAGCAGATTCCACATTGATTTAAACAAAACTGATAATAATGCAGGACTGACTGAGAGCTGCTCTGCATCAGCTGATCTGCATAATGTGTGTGAATTAAAAATTTTTAATTTTGAAATTTCTTTTTTTTTTTAGTTAATTTTGGACTGGTCAAAAGTGCATGTAATAAATCAGCAAATGAGGTGTATATGTCAGTACATACACAGTACACACAGTAAATATGAAAAGATCATTGTGCAAAGAACTATTCTGTAGAAGAAAAATGAATAAACTCTAAACATTTATTATGAAGGAAATGCAGATTAACATTGTCAGCATTGTGAACACTGGACA